TCTCTAATCTTACGGGTTCTGTCACTTGGGTTGCCAGAGATCCTCCAAGAACTGACCCGTCCATTTGCTCAAAACGAATGGGGACTTTTAACGGGGTCATGCGTAGTCCCAGCTCTTTGGCCAGAGAGGCTCGGATCAGGCACCTAGTGCACCCAGAGTCTACAAGTGCCCCTTGGCAAACCATGGTATTAGTGTGGGGATGCCGGAGACTAACTTGAATAATGAACGGACGGATGGGGGCACTCACCATCGGATCACGGTTGTCCTCCTTGTCGCTATCGCCCAGCACCACCGGCAAGTCACCAGGTCCCGGGGGGGTGCCCTCCTCCTTAACGGGGCTATCGCTATCCATTGTCACGGCCTGCAAAGCCACCCAGGACCGCTCGGGTGTTATCCGTCTTCCGCCTCTGCCGCCAGGTCGATCAGGTGTGCGTCCCGTCAATGATTGAGGAGGAGGAAATGGGCAATCGGCAGCTCGATGTCCAGTCTGGTTGCATCGGAAATACCAAAAAGGTGCCCTTCGTGAGGACCCAGGGGTTGCAGTGGGCCTCCCGAATCTCGGGTAGTGGATGGCCTATCGGGTGGTCTTTGTCTCAGCATGGTTCCAGTGGTCTCTCGAAGTCGGAACTCCCTCAATCCCAAATCCAGGTCAATGGCCACCTTGAACCACTCCGTCAAACGGGGAGGTAAACCCCGATATATGCAAGCCTGCCACAATTCCCTATCCAGGCCAAGGTGGAACTGGTGGACTAACATCCGCTCCGGCCACGCCTGCAGCCACCCTGCAACGGAGCGGAACTCCTTCACATACTCTCTAGCTGGGCGGCCCCTCTGCCGTAAGGCCACCAATTCTCCTTCAGCTTGTTGGATGCGGGAGTCATCTTCAAAATGGGCCCAGAGGCCCTCTAGGAACAGCCCCACATCTGTCAACTCTCGAGCGTGGTCACTGTGCAGGTCGGCCACCCAATCGGCTGCCTCTCCTTGCAGCACTGTGGTAACTGCCACCACCATGGACCACTGGGTAGGATAAAATTGCCCGTACAAGTCAAAATAGCTGAGGACTTGACTTAGAAAGATAGCCACCCTGTCTGCGCTGCCATCAAATGACGCTTGTAGTGGGGGCGGGCCCCACACTGGTTGAGGCTGCCACGGACCCTGGCCAGGAGGTCCTGCATATCCAGGAGCGGGGTGAGCCTGAGGTGGGGGGCGGTCGCTGTACCCGGTGTTGACGTCCGAAACTCGCCCCGTGTTGGTTATCCCCTTGGAAGGGCTGAGGGGCGGGGGCGTGTCCTCCGCCCTGGCCGGCAGATCCCGGATTGGGCCCCGTAGGACGAGGACGGGTCTCTGGTTTTGCCCGTTCCGGACTTCGTGTTCTGCTTGTAGACGTATCCAAGCGCAATTTGAGGCTAGCCAACCGGAACCGGGTCGATCCGGACGTACCCGAACTGTGCCACGTCTCCGCCCCTTCAGCCCATGGTTGCCATGAGGGAGCGCCTCTGAAACTACTCTCCCCAAACGGCTCCCTCAGAATCTCCAGAGTAGAAGAGCCAAGGCCGGTGGAATAGCTCCATTCGCCCCCTTCGTCGTCATCCACCCAACGCCTTTCTCTCCAACGCCTAAACGGCTCAGCCGGTGGGGTGATGGTAGGGGCTTTCCCGCCAGCCACTGCTGGGCTGCGCCACCAGTCTCCGGATGAATGATGCCCTTCCATTGGCTTCGTTTCAACTTCACCCGCTCCTCCGCCCTCCTCGTCTTGGCTTATGGGCCGTTCCTTCGGTCTCACCACTGGCTGCATCTCGTCTGAGACCTCCGGTCGTGCGCTCACCTCCTCCACCGGCATCTCTGCCAACACCTCCACCTCGGGGTCCATCCCTTCCGCCATGCCAGACGTCCAAACGCACCTCGAGTGCGAAGCTAGAGCGAATGGAGCGCCAACTTTCTCTCAGCTCCTTGTCCCGTACGGCACGGAGACAGCAATAAAACACAGCTGGACACATCAACTGAATGGTGAATGCTGGTTTAATGCTTTCGTCAGATACGAGACAACGCCAAGCTACAAAGTCTTTCAAAGTTGGCGCTACGAGCATCCGCCTCATAATGCTTTATATTTCCGCGCCCCACCCCTCATTACTCCACTTCGTAATGATCGGGGCGTTGTCCCATCAGTTGCGCCATTGTAGTTTGGGATCGCATTTCCGGCGTTTTTCCTAGCGTCCGTAGTTATCCTAACCCGACGCCCTTCCACCCCCTCGTGTGTCGCCTTGTCTATATCCCGTGCCACCTCCACCGCTACGACGTCTTGCTGTTTCGCCATAGAACGTTGTGAATAATATCCTCCACCGGTCCTCCACCGTTTCTCCTTCCCGTCCCCTCTGTATGCTGAGCACGCCGGGCTCGACAGCGGGTTTTTAGAATAATGGCATAGTTATATTGATAGAATTTAGGGAAATAACTGGGTAAAATATTAAGTTGTGTTAATTGGAAATTAAGACTTGTTAGTGATTTGTACTAATTTGTGACCGGATCAATGCTTCGTTTTGGAAAAGATGTGTTTTATGTTTATGTTTTAAAAAAAATAAAAAAACTTTTTTTTAAAAAAAAAAGTTACATCGGCACTGAAAAAAATGACATGACCATTTTCCACAGTTACTGTTGTGATCCAGGCCCAAGTAGGTATTATCAGATGCAATCAGTTTGAAACAAACAGACTTTATTAGAAAAGCTGAGAATTAACTCAGCTTTCTGGATCGCGACGCCTTGCGCACAGTCACTCATGCCCTTGTCACCTCCCGACTGGACTACTGTAATGCTCTCTACATGGGGCTCCCCTTGAAAAGCACCCGGAGGCTCCAACTGGTCCAGAATGCGGCCGCGCGGGTGGTTATGGTCGCAACTCGTTGTGCCCACGTGACACCCCTCCTGCGTGAGCTGCACTGGCTCCCAGTGGTCTTCCGGGAGCGATTCAAGGTGTTGGTTACCACCTTTAAAGCGCTCCATGGCATTGGACCTGGATACCTTCGAGACCGTCTTCTGCCACCAGTAGCCTCCCACCGGCCAGTCCGCTCCCACAGAGAGGGTCTCCTCAGGGTGCCATCGGCCAAATTATGTCGGCTGCCGACACCCAGGGGGAGGGCCTTCTCTGTGGGAGCCCCTGCCCTTTGGAATGAACTGCCCCCAGAAATTCGTAAGCTCTGATCTCCGTGTATTTCGCTGTGCCCTCAAAACCTTGTTATTCCGCCAGGCCGGGCTATCAATGTAAAGATTTTAATTGGTTTTAAATATGGGATTTTAAATTTGGGGGTTTTATAATTGAGCCAATTATTTAATAATTTTAATTATTTTTAAATTGTCTGTCTTTGTGCTTTTAATCAGGCTGTACACTGCTCTGAGTCCTTCGGGAGAAGGGCGGTAGAGAAATAAAATTAATAAATAAATAAAATAAATAAACTCATTCTCAGCATAGTCCAAACTAATTCAAAACAAATTCTTCATAACACAATTCTTCAGCCTTATCACCAACCTTGGTCTAATTAGGCAACCTGCCAAAGGCTTTTCTTGGCAAAAGTTCAGAAGCAGAAGATGCTGACAAATAAATGCAGCAAGACAAGAAACAAATCTGTCAACGTTGTTTTCCGACAAAGAGCCCAAGAGCCATTGCTGGTCTTTTAAGCCTTATAGGAGGGGCCAATCATCTCTTGGCCTTACTCCCGAGTCATCCTTTTTGCTTTAGCTGCTCTTGCCTTCTGGCAGCTCTTCTCATGCGTGCACTAGGAACAGGCTCCTCCTGTTTCTCTGCCACTCTGCAGTCAGCCTCTGGAGGTGCCGGAGTCTGCACATCACTCCCAGATGGCCCTGGCCCCATCTCTGCCTCCGACGCAGAGCCTTCATTTGGGCCTTCCCTAGCCTCCAGGACTGGCCCATGTTCTTCCTCAGCCTCCTCACTGTCTGACTCCGCTGTCAGCTCCGCAGGCTGCTGGCGGACCACAACAGTTACGACCATTCCAGCAACTCCATCGTCATGTGATTAAAATTCAGATGGTTGGCAACTGGTTCATATTTATGACCATTGCTGTGTCCCAAGATCATGTGATCAACTTTTGTGACCTTCTGACAAGCAAAGTCAATGGGAAAGCCAGATTAATTTAACTACCAGGTTTCTAATTTATCAACTGCAGTGATTCACTTAACAACCGAGGCAAATAACCAAAGTTATTAACACAGCTGCCTGCAATTACTGCTGGTTCGAATCTCTCCAAGGCTCAAGGTTGACTCAACCTTCCATCCTTTCTAAGGTAGGTGAAATGAGGACCCAGTTTGTGGGGGCAATAAGCTGACTTTGTATAAATATACGAAAGTATGAAGGCTATTGTTTAACGCATTGTAAGCCGCCCTGAGTCTCCGGAGAAGGGCGGCATATAAATCAAATTAAAAAAAAAAAAGATTGTAAAATGGGGCAAAATTAACTTAACAAATATCTCACTTATCAACATAAATTTTGGGCTCAATTATAGTTGTAACTTGAGGACTACCTGTATTGTAATTCATAAATTCTGTAGTCAAAAAGTTCATTATGACATGACCAGTTTTCTTTGACTAGTGACTACTAATCCTGCTAATACTAATTGAACAAATTAAGGATAAACTTTAAAGATTGGAGTTTATAATATATAATTATATTATTTATTATAAGAATTAAAGTATATGATTTATACAATATATAAAAATGAGATAGAAATATACTTCTTTTCCAAATTGCCGAATATGACCTTTCAATTCATGGAATCACTGACATGAAAAAATAAGATCCAAATTTATAAACTGCAGCTCATCTTGGAAAAAAATATCAGAAGTTTTGTAGCTTTAATTGGTTAGTGCTGCTTGTTCTTGGGAATGGAATGCTCTCAACTTTGTTTTTCTTCTTTTGTTAGTTTAATTTTATTTAATAAAATAAGTGATCCCAATAAAGTGCTGAGATTTTTCTACTCTCTCTGTTTATAAAGGACAACTCTTCACCAATACCATGGGAAACAAGATGCAACATTGCGTACGGGACATCAAATGGAATCTCCTTCTTGCATGAAAATAACCATATTCATAGAGATGTTAAAAGGTAGAACCTGTAAAATTAATTTCTGTGAAAAGCATTCTAAAGGGTGACAGTAGGATAAAAAGGCTGTAAGATTTACCCCTTTCCTTTGAGTTCCTTGTGAAATGAATTCCAGAAAGGTTCCTGCCATTTGGATTTAACCAGCTGTTATTTCTGCTTGATATATTGCCCCCCTTTCAGGAAAAGGGCAAAAAATAACTTTTAGCTTACTATTTTTTCCCCAGTGCGAATATCTTACTGACAGAAACATTTGTACCAAAACTTTCTGACTTTGGGCTTGCAAGGGCATCGGTAAGATTTACACACACTATTCTAACAGATAGAATAGTTGGGACAGCAGCTTATATGGCACCAGAGGCATTAAGAGGGGAGATAACTCCTAAATCGGATATCTTCAGTTTTGGCGTGGTAAGTTGCTATTTTTTAAAATAAGTCAGTAAATGAGGGTTGTTTTCCCTTTCTGTTCCCTAAACCACCTTGCCTAATGAAAAATTATTGTTAGCTTATAAACTGTAGCTTGTTTTCCAACTTTGGGATGGTCCAATGCACAACTAAATTTAACTCCAGGTTTCCTGTAATGACAGTGTCTCAATTGTTGTTGAATTGCTCTGCTTTTGAAGACAGACTTCATTTTTCTTCAATAAGAAAGTCATGAATGGGATTAAGTGGGAATTGCCCATTATTTTATCTCAAGCCAGAGTTTTTCCTAAGAGGCTGACTCCTGGTAGTCAGAGGGCATACAGTAATATTTATTTTTTTCTCAGGCAGGTATCAGATATTTAAATATATATTTAAATATATATTTAAATATATTAAATATATCTATTAAAAATATCTATTAAATATCTATTTATTAAATATCTATTATTTAAATATTTGTTCATCGTGAAAAGGCTTCAAATCCCCCTCTATGAAATGTAGAATTTGAAGAAGTTTCTGATGTAATCCTGGATCTATTGATAATCATACAGAGATTTTGAAAATGGTTTATTCATATATTCAATGATACACTTTTGATCAATAATTATAAACTAAGTCTTTATGGAATTGTACCAAAGTCGCTCACTTTGTTGCTAAGGTAATTGAGTGTTCCTCGCTGAAATAAAATAGTATTTTTTTATATTGATTGTTGTACAGTGATATTTGATGAAAATCTGTGACATCTATTTCACTTATTAATTTTCACCTGTTTCCAGGTATTACTCGAAATAATAACTGGGCTTAGTCCTATGGATGAAAATCGGGATCCCCAGTTACTGGTATGTTCATATATATAGTTTCATGTATCAGTTTCAGTGCTATGCCAATGCCACGCCTGCTGAAGTTCAGCATCTTTGGAGGGCACAAGGCTAAGAAAAGCTGGTCTACTGTTTCAGTGGGTTTGGCAGATTCTAGTAGAAGCTTTGCCAAATTTACATATTGCCCTAAGTTGTATTATGATTTGCTTGTGGCTTATTTAACAAGTTGTAGTTAAAACAAGGGTTCAGAGTGATCATTGAAGTGAACATCAAATATTTGTAATGTCAATATTGTGGAATTTTAAAAAAAACTTTGCCCTTATGCTGGTTTATTTTAAAGTTAGATCCATGTAGGTATAAGAACCAGTGTGGCAGTGTGTTTCTGTTGATTCTTTGGTAATATCAGAAGTATCAAGTCATAGAATAAAGCAGTTTCTTGATTCCTTTTGGAAACTGAAGAAAGAAGTACCTGAATATGAATCAAGGAAACTGGGCATTATCTTAATTGGAGATAATAATTTCTTATCAATAAAACTTTGTGAAGATGTTAAGTGGTTGGAAACTAATCAAAGAGAGAAGCAACCTGCAATTAAGGAGAAACTTCCTAACAATTAACCAGTGGAACAGCTTGCCTTCAGAAATTGTGGACGCTTCATCTCTAGAGGTTTTTAAGAAGAGTAGACAGTCACTTATCTAAATTGGTATAGGTTCTCCTGCTTGAGCAGAGGGCTGGAATAGAAGACCTCCAAGGTCCCTTCCAGCTTATTCTATTCTAAGTAAGATAAAAATATGCAAGTTCAGATAAGCAAATGCTTAATGTGATTGAAATATAACTGTCCATATAACTTAAAAATATTCCAGAAGATGGGAACCTGTAATATTGTGAAAAATAGGATAGAAAAGGATTTCCTTGATGAGGGTGTGACATTGTCCAGATGAGGGTTATATCAGTCGGATCTGATGCTGGCTGAGTCATAACTTTTGACCACTCCCCTTGCTCCGCCCCTTTCATGCTCAGTTTAGACTCAGTCGGCCTGAGAGAAACATCTCCTACAGATCTGGCTATACAGCCCAGGTCTGTTCAATATCACAGAATTGTAAGTCTTTTTGACCACCTTTTTATTTCTATAGCTTAAAATTGTTACTTCCCCTTTAAATTTTTTCCCCCCCTTCTATTGTAGCCTGCCGGTTTTGCTTTGCTAGAGCCTCCTAAGCTGCAGGCTTTGCTTCGCTCCTGGCGGCGGCCATTTTGAAAGCCCCATTTTAAAAGGGAACTTTTTTCCTTTTTCTTTTTCCTGTCTTTTTTGGGGGGGATTTTTTTGATCTATCCCACCAACGATTGTTTAAGGGGCCCTAGACCACAATACCACCAACAATAATAGCAATTACCTAATTTAAGGGAAATTGCCAAATGGGGCCGCCGCCCACCCTACAGCGATCCCAAAACCGCTTATCAGCTGTAGAGCGGTTAATTGAAGCCCCGCGGCAATTTTAAAAGGAAATTTTTGCCGCTTTGCCACCAACGAGTCTGCAAGTTTGGGGGGGGCAGCAAGCTTCTTCTTGCCTCCCCCTGTGGCATTTCCAGCCAGTATTTTTTATTTTTTCTCTTCATGGCTGTGGGGGCGCTGAGGAGGTCCGTTTCTAGGCTTGACTAGACAGATACCTCCAGAGCAGAGTTTCCTCCTGCTCAAGTGTGACCTGGCAGCCATCGTGCTTAACGCCAGAGTCGTTGCCATCTCAAATTTCAACCACGTGGCGAAACTGAAACCAAAAGCTATTTCTCCAGTCGACATCGTGGTCGCAGTGAGTATACTAAAGATGGCGGATCGCTCTTCCCATGGGGAGGAAAATACTATGTACACTGGGAAGAAATCAACTTCCAAACGTAAGCACCTTTCTAAGCCTGAGGAGAAGGATTTAACAAAGAGGCATAAATCTCTAGAAAAGCAAGCTAGTGAAGTGCCTGCAACTGAGCCTGGTAAGGGGACCCCCCCCCCATCTACCCCCCCTCCTCCCATTTCAACTGTTAGCCAGGCCTGGTCTTCGGAGGGAGAGGGTAATGTTCTTCAACAAGACCAAAGCAATTTGCAAAACCCCTTTGCAAGTCAATTAATGACCCCTGCAACTCCTGTATTTGGTGGGCCTGCAGCTGCAGCTGCTTCAACAGGTGAATCCTCTATGCCTGTGCTAAACCCCGAAGATCCTTTAAAAAATGTGCCAGAAGGATTGAGAATTCTGATTGAACAGGCCATTGCTTCTAGAATGGCAGCCAATATTCATGGTCACCACTCTGGCTCTGCTATTTCAGAGCGATCTGCCCGTATTAGAATTTCTCCTGCAGTCAGTCTTACTGGCTCTCATTCTCCTGCAGCCTCCAGAGTTAGTGAAGCCTTTGTGTTTGAGGAAGAGAGACATTCTGATCTATCAGATGATGAGGGGATAATCCAAGATCAACCTGCCTTTACAGGATTATTTCCCCCCAATAAATTCAAGTCTTTATTGCATAAGGCTCGCTTAACAGCCGCCTTAAAGGAAGATGAATACTTTCAAGAGATGCAGGAGGCTCAAAAGGGTGGACTACAGGGACCTTTTTCTGAGCCCCCCCCTGAACTTTGTTATGTACCAACTCCACAACTGTTCATAGACGTGGTAAAGAAACAGTGGGCTGGGCCTGCAACCATGGCATCTGCACATGGTTCAGATAAGAAATATTATGCTGTTGCTCCAAAGTTTACTCAACTCTTGCAAGTTCCACCTGTAGACAGTCCTGTAGCGGCCCTTTCCTCTTCTTCTTCATACGTAACTGGGGATACTTCTGAAGGTCTAAGGCCAGAAGACAAAAAGTTAGAATTTCTGTTTAAAAAGAACCATCAGGCCTCGGCATGGGCAATTCAATCAGCTTCATCAGCCTCATTTTTTAATAGGACTACCATCCTTTGGCTTCAACAGTTACAGGCAAGGGTACCCCCCAGGGAGGTTCGCCTTCATCAGGATATTAATAAAATCATTGCTGCCACTCAATTTTCGGCTGATGCAACCTTGAATTCAGCCAAATTTGCATCCAGAGCCTTAGCCTCTACAGTTTCAGCCCGCAGGATGCTCTGGCTTCGCCAATGGCCTGCTGACCTTAAGGCCAAATGGCGCTTGGCTGCAGCTCCATATTCTGCAAACAGACTATTTGGGGAATCACTTGACCCTCTTCTTGTAGAGACACGGGACAAGCGAAAAATTTTGCCCTCAACATACAAACGGGCTGAAGGAAGACCCTCTCCATATTACAGAAGGCCTTCCTCTCGTTCCTACCCCCAGGGAGGCCCCTCCAGGCAGGAATATCTTCAGGGATCCTATCGATCCTCGGACCGTCAATATTTTCGGGACAGGAGCAGACAATTCCAGCCCAAACGGTCCTTTCGGGGTTCTGGTTTCCGCCAGTCCCGCAGTCGTAAGTGACTCACTACCAAATCCTCCAGTAGGGGGTCGCCTGTCCCTCTTCGCGGACAGGTGGGAAAGGTCATCTTCAGACCTTTGGGTTCTTTCAGTTGTAAAATTCGGCCTCCCCCTGGAATTTCTCTCCAGGCCTCCAACCCGCTTTCTTCAATGTCCAACTTCCAAAAGCGAATCCAGACGTCAATTAATGAACCAAGCAGTTCAGCACCTACTACAGATTCACGCCATAGAGGAGGTCCCCCACGATCAATGGAAACAGGGGTATTATTCCATCCTGTTCGTAGTTCCAAAGCGGTCAGGGGGGTGGAGAGCCATTCTGGACTTAAAAAATCTCAACTCATACATAGTGTATCGCAGATTCAAAATGTGTTCACTAACCTCTATTCTTCAAGGGATTCGTCCCAACGATTTTCTAGTTTCCATAGACCTCATGGAGGCTTATCTTCACATTCCCATCCTGCCAAAGCATCGACAGTATCTCCGATTCAGCTATGCAGGAAAGCATTTTCAATACCGGGCTCTTCCCTTCGGACTGGCATCTGCACCAAGGGTCTTCACAAAGGTCCTGGCGGTGGTGGCGGCTCACCTGAGACAACAACCGGTAAGGATCCAGGCTTACCTGGACGATATTCTGATTCAGGCTCACTCTCAAGAGCAAGCCTTACACGACCTACACCTCACGATTCAAACCCTGAACAACCATGGGTTCTTGGTCAACTACAAAAAAAGTCAGTTAGTGCCAGTCACCAGGATCACCCATCTTGGCGCCATCATAGACGCAGCCCAGGGGACCGTCTACCTAACCTTGGAACGACGGTCAGACATCAGGGACCTAGTAGCTCTCATTCGCAGAACTCCATCAGTTCCATTGGCCACTCTATCCAAGCTCTTAGGCAAGATGGTCTCCTGCGTCCAGATCGTCCCATGGGCACACCTTCACGCTCGCCACTTGCAGTGGTTCCTGCTTCCTTTTCAAAAGAAACGCCAAGCTCACACCATGTTAACAGTCAAAGTTCCACTCTCAGTCAGGCGATCGCTAGGTTGGTGGACATCGCCTTCTCTCGACAAGGGGTGTCTCTTCATGAATCACGACCAACTTGTACTCACTACAGACGCCAGCCTTCACGAATGGGGGGGCTCATCTTGCATCACACGTGGCTCAGGGCCGTTGGTCTGCATCAGACCTCGCCAACCCTATCAACTGGCTGGAGCTGAAGGCCATTCGTCTCGCTCTCACGCACTTTCACCGGTTCGTGCAACACCGTCATGTTCTGGTGTTGACAGACAATATGGCGGCGAAGGCACATGTCAACCGTCAAGGGGGCACCCACTCAAAGCGCCTCATGGAGGAATCATTTCGTCTGGGCAAGTGGGCAGAACAACACCTCCTCTCCATCAGAGCGGACCACATTGCGGGGTCGGAAAACACACAGGCGGATTTCCTGAGCAGGACAGAGGTGGACAACAGCGAGTGGCAGATTCATCCCGACATATTTCATCAGATTTGCAACAGGTTCGGCATCCCAGCCATAGATCTCTTCGCCACACACCTGAACAATCAGCTTCCTCGCTTCTTCTCGAGGTTCCCGACGCCAGGGGCGGAAGGGGTCAACGCTCTCCGTCTCACCTGGCCGCCGGGTCTTCACTATGCCTTTCCACCGCTGCCTCTGATTCCGGCCCTGATTCGGAAGGTCATCGCCGACAGAGCAGAAATTATCCTCGTGGCTCCCCACTGGCCACGCCGTCCGTGGTTCGCAGACCTGGTCAGTCTCTCCACATTTCACCCTTGGAGGATTCCACCAGACGAGATTGTACTGCGTCAGGGGAACCTTCTTCATCCGGACCCTCAGTGGCTCCAACTGACTGCATGGCGCTTGAAGGGGCCCGTCTAAGGCAGGACAATTATTCAGATAGGGTGATTCACATTGTTCAAGCCTGCAGACGTAAATCCACAGTCAGACTCTACAATATCTCCTGGCTCGCCTTTTATAGGTGGTGCCGTTCCCGGCAGATAGATCCTGTTTCAGCCTCACCTGCCCAGATCTTGGAGTTCCTCAGAGATGGGTTTGACCGTGGTCTGGCCCATAGTACCCTTCGGAGACATGTGGCGGCTCTGTCTACGGCCTTGTCCAGTCCATCCGGCCGACCACTCACTCAGCACCCTGTGATAAAAAAGTTCCTGCGAGGAGCCAGGCTCTTGCGGCCCTCCTCGATTCATAGATACCCTACTTGGGATTTGCCCAAGGTCCTTAACGCTTTAACTGAGACTCCCTTTGAACCCCTCCGCACGGTTCACCTTCGCTTTCTCACCCTTAAGGTGGTTTTCCTTATAGCCATAACTTCAGCCCGTCGCATTTCGGAGCTGGCAGCCCTCTCAGTTAGGGAGGATCTCTGTGTTTTCCGGCCGGACACAGTTATTTTGAGATTGGACCCTTCCTTTATTCCCAAGGTTAATTCCCCCTTTCACAGGGCCCAAGAGGTTATTTTGCCCAATTTCTGTTCCCGGCCCTCTCATGCCTTGGAACGAAGGTGGCATACCTTAGATGTACGGAGGGCCCTAAAGATTTATATCAAAAGGACTGCTCCCTTCAGGAAGTCAGAGGCTTTGTTTGTTTCCTTTTTGCCAGGCTCCCTAGGGCTCAAAGTCTCTTCTGCCACAATTGGTAGATGGATCAGGGCTTGCATCGCCTCGGCATATCAGGCCCAGGCGATTCCTGTTCCCAATAGCATTACTGCCCACTCCACTAGGAGTGCTGCTACCTCAGCAGCTTGGGCAACTCAGGCCTCCCTTGAGGAGGTATGTAGGGCAGCCACCTGGTCTACCCCCTCGCCATTTATTCGTCATTACAAGATAGATACCTTTGCTTCTGCTGAAGCGTCATTTGGCAGGAGGGTTTTGCAGCAGGTGCATCGTGCGAGGGTCTCTCCAGGCCCTTCGACATCCCGCCCTTGAGACAGCCAAATCTTTGGTATGTCCCTCATCTGGACAATGTCACACCCTCATCAAGGAAATTGGGCATTGGTCTTACCTTAAATGCCAGATTTCTTGAGGGGGGTGACATTGTCCAGCCCCTCCCTCTGTCTCAGTGCCTATACAGTTTATTGTTCTTGTTCAGTAGTTTTTTTCCAGTTGTCCCGTTGGACCGAATTACTTCCTCCTGATAACGGTGGTTCCTGTTGGAGATACTTCTGGTGGCCTTCCTTCGTCAAAACTGAGCATGAAAGGGGCGGAGCAAGGGGAGTGGTCAAAAGTTATGACTCAGCCAGCATCAGATCCGACTGATATAACCCTCATCTGGACAATGTCACCCCCCTCAAGAAATCTGGCATTTAAGGTAAGACCAATGCCCATTTTATCAGAATCTAAGCAAAACATAACATGGAAATCTGAAAACTTTGTTATTTATTTACATTCTATAATATAGGGGTTCCTACTCCTTTAGCCTCATAGGGTAGGGGCACTCAACAGCCCTTCTTGCAATGAACGTACAAGATGACCTATAGATAGGGTGATACAAACATATGACCTCTTCCATTGTCCCATCCTACCATACTATCCCAGCTTGCTTTATTCCGTTTAATCAATTCACAAGAACAATCTGTTTTTCTTCCTTCTTTATGGAATTCCTATATCATTAAGTAATATTATTTTAATACTTTGCTGCTCCATTCAGCTGTCCATCAAAGAGGAAATTGAAGATGAAGAAAAAACTATAGAAGATTATGTTGATAAAAAAATCAGCAATTTGAACATCACCTCAATTGAACATATGTATTCAATTGCTTCCCCGTGTCTGCATGAGAAGAAGAACCGGAGGCCAGATATTGAAAGGGTACCAATTTTAAATATGGTGATGCAACACACACACACACACACACACACACACACACACACACACACACACAAACATATGTATGTATGTATGCATGTATGTATGTATGTATGTATACCGTGTTTCCCCCAAAATAAGACCCTGTCATATATATATTTTTGCCACCAAAAAAGGCAGGTCTTATTTTTTGGAGGGGGGGATGTCATCCACTGACTCACCTCACTTGTGTGCGTCGCTCCTGGTCTCCTTTTCACTGTCAAAGGCCTTCAGGAACTTCTGTGGCCCGCAAGGCTTTCCTGAAGGCCTCTGCAGCCGATAACAGGACTCCGGATTGAGGCCGAGGCCTTCAGGAAAGCCTTGCCAGCTGCAGAAGAAATGGGCTGCTGGCAAGACAGGTGTTGGGGTGTGTGAGGCCTGACTGCAGCTGTCCAAAGGTAAGTAGTAGGGCAGCTCCACCACCACCCCTCCCCACCCTAGCTTAATTTTTACCTGTGTATCCTGGAGTGGGCAGGGTCCTAATTAGGGCTTATTTTGGGGATAGGGCTTATATTGGGCGCACATGTAAAAATCAACCTAGGACTTTCGGAGGTCGTATTTTCGGGGAAACATGGTATCAAGGGTGGTATTCACTTACCTTTGCTACTGGTTCACAAATGTGACCGCACACCACCTCCGTGCAAGCACAGGACCTTCCACACATGCGCAGAGTGTCAATAACAGGACGTGATGATGTCCAGACAGGTGGCCGGAGCCTCCCGCCACTGCCACCTGTTCGCCTGAATCGGATAGTACCTGCTGAATACCACCACTGCACGGTATATGTATGTATGTGTGTGTGTGTGTGTGTGTGTGTGTGTATGTATATGTACATATACATTATGTACATATATGTATATATGTATGTAGGTATGTCTATGTATATATGTATACACACACCTTTTAAATTTGCCAGCTTGAATTTTGTATTTTTTCTGTTTCAGGTCAAAGAACATTTAAAAGAAATGTTGATTGAATAAGGTCAGTTCTGTATCTTAACTTGGTGTTTAAACAAACCTGTTTCTATATCCTGACTTGAATATTTGTGTTCCTCTATGAGGAACACTATTCAGTGTTTTTTAAAGGAACAAAATAAGGTTTGTGCCCTTTGATCTATTCATAAATTAGGATCTATTCATAAATATAGTGATAAAAATGTATTCAGTAATACCAAAATGAAATCTGCAACAAAGATCACATAAGTCTTGTCTTTTTAAAATCATATATGCTTCTACTATATATTCTAAACATAATTTATTTTCAAAAACATAGTCTCTTTTCTAGTATTCTTGTTTTCCCTTAGCAAATTTCATAAACTCAGGGTATCCAAAATTAATGTCACATTTAGTTTTATTCTTGTTAAGAGAATAATACTATAATCTTATGTAACTTCATTTCTGATTGCTAAGAATGAAAAAAAATGGTGAGGCTGGAGAAACTATCAATACTTTTCAGTATTGAAAGATTTGCTTTGAATGGATAGCTGGGAGGAAACTCTTTATTTGCTTCATTTTAGCTTAGCAAAAGTTTCATTGTAAGTTTGATGCTAAAGTAGGAGAGAACTTTGTTATTTATGGATTATCTCAAAGTTTATTAAAAGGCTCCCAATAAGGGTTTATTATAAGGACTAACTCAAGGATTATTGTCCTCACCATTTGAACTAAGTAAAGGTCAAGAAAACCTGGATCTGAAGTGAGAAAATTGGGAAAGTTTAAGTATTTGATGCTGGGATCTGTTTTGAGGAAAAAGCTCTAGTTCTGAGAGGTCTGAAACCGTATGTACAGATCTTAGAAGAGTTTTAATTTTGCTTATGAATTAAGAATTTGGGCAGAAAGGATATCTTCTTCCAATATCTATAAGCATACCACATCAAAAAATCTTGTATCTATAGATTTTACAAGATTAATATTGAATATATTAATGTAGCAGTCAGGTATTTTTTCCTCATTCACATCCTTAAGCACTCATCTATTTAATTATTTAACAGTATTCATAACGACTACAAAATCCATCTTATCTTCCTTCCTATACCACATTATGCATTTTTGCAATAGAAAGCGCCTTTTCAGTCACTAATTCATCAGTTTATTGAAGTCACATGTACAATTATTAGGAAATAAACTGAATGTCAACTCGACCTGCTCTCGAGTTGCTATAGGCAAGGGGGACGGGGAGGCTCATGATTTCATTAGGGCAGAGGTCTTCAAACTTGGCAGCTTTAAGACTTGTGGACTTCAGCTCCTAGAATTCTCCAGCCAGCTGAAGAGAGTTGTGGAGTTGAAGTCCACAAGTCTTAAAGCTGCCAAGTTTGAAGACCTCTGCATTAGGGGGTTGCTCAGAACCCTGACACTGTAATGAATTCAAAACTGCTTATTTTCAGGTAGACAAGAGTATTTTTGCTTTACAAGGCAATCTTTATTTGCTTTGGATCAGTTACTACACTTCCCTTTGTTCCAGTTGATGCTGTTTTTGAATAATTATTATAGGCAAAAATCCCTAAAGTATTAGGTATATTATTAGAAAAATAAACAACCCTATCGCTATTATAAAGTAATAATTGACCTTACTGTCATTGAAACTGTAGTGTTACATTCCACAGCATATACTGTGAAAAACTGCAGAAATAATTGCAGTTTGGTTTCTACAGAAATACGTAGTTTTATAAATTAACTGAAAATCTATTTTATCACCAAGTATGTGTTTAAAATCAAGGATAGCATCAGTGCTGATTTACAAATGATTGTTCATTCAAATTAAACCTTATTTATTAATCAGTTTACTGAATTTATTGATATACATTTTATATAGGGACAAGGAGAGAAAAGAAATAGAAATTAACAAATTAATCTCTAGAAACATATAGTTTACACATTTCTCACATTCATTGCATATAAAATGCTTATTTAATAAATATAAAACCTGCATATTTACAAGGAAGCAAAAGCCAATGGATGTAGGAGTATTACTTCCTATAAATAACCCATACATTAAGACTACATTAATCAGTGTTTTTATTTTGAATGGATACTTTGTGAATTAGGCCCTCTTTAATAAGTTTGGGACTTCAGTTTCTAATGGGCATATATGTTCCTTCATCTGGAAGACACTAATAAGATTGTTTAGGTCAACTCACAGGAATAATGTTCTATAGAATCAAAGGATTTGTTTGAACTCCCTACGCACAGTCACTCATGCCCTCGTCACCTCTCGTCTGGACTATTGTAACACTCTCTACATGGGGCTCCCCTTGAGGTGCACTCGGAGGCTCCAACTGGCGCAGAGTGCGGCCGCGCGGGTGGTTATGGGAGCAACGTGGGTGCACGTCGCTCCTGCGGGAGCTGCCCTGGCTCCCAGTGGTCTTCCGAGTGCGCTTCAAGGTTTTGGTTATCACCTTTAAAGTGCTCCATGGCTTAGGACCTGGTTATTTACGGGACCACCTGCTACCACCAATAGCCTCCCACCGGTCAGTACGCTACCATAGAGAGGGGCTCCTCCGGGTGCCGTTGGCCAAACAATGTCGACTGGCGGCCCCTAGGGGGAGAGCCTTCTCTGTGGGGGCACCTATGATCTGGAACGAGCTCCCCCCAGAGATATGGAGGATCCCGGATTTGTGCACCTTCCGTCGCGCGCTTAGGACTTTTTAATTTCATCAAGCTGGCCTGGCCTAAATCTTCTCCCCTTTTTAAATGTAATTTTTAATTTGTTTTAAATTATGGGGTATTTTAAATTTGTCTCAGCCAAATTATTTAATTTGTTTTTATTTTATTTTATATTTTTCTATTTATATGTTTTATTTTGTGGCTGTTCACCGCCCTGAGTCCTTCAGGAGTAGGGCGGTATAGAAATCCAATAAAATAAATAAATAAATAACTCAAAGTAATCACAATTAGTTTCACAATTTGAGACACTTGAAAAAAAAAGGGAATATTTTAATTTTCTTAAGATAATAGAAATGCATTAGGACTCACATTGTTTCTTGCTTCTTAATAGTATTGGTACTAACAGTGACTAAGTAGAAATTTTTGTAGAGAAATGGAATTCATTTACTGGGAATAGAAAAGTCTGTACTGTGTTCCTTAATAGCATATTAATGACAGAATCATCCTAATGAATAGCATTTTCTTCCTTAAGCAGAAATGAAATTTGTGAGTCAGAATTATTGAAAAAAATTACTCTTTCAGAAGAAACAATAAATGCATTGTTACTCAGTTATATGAAAATTTAAAGTTGCATTTCTGTAGCAAATACCGTATTTTTCGGAGTATAAGACGCACCTTTTGACCTCCAAAAAGGGGGTGAAATCTGGGTGCGTTTTATACTCCGATTGTAGCCCCGCCCACCTGTCAGCCCCCACCCTTCAGACATTTTCGGGCAGTTCCAGGCGGCGGGAATCTGGGTCGGGGCACAGCCTGAGGAACAACCCGCTTCAGGATGGTGGGGGGTGGGGGGAATCTGCCCAGCAGCTTCGGGGAACAAGGCGGGCCCCACGGTTTGCAGCTGGTCACCCCTCTGGCCGCCCAGCAGGCAGCTTAGGGCAGTCAATGATCGCAATGACTTCACTCCCCAGCAATGTGAGGAGCCGCCGTAAGCCCTTTCCGTGCCCAGAAGCCGAGCGAGCCGAATGGGAGCTCCTAAAGTGAAACATCTCTCCTTTCCAGCCACTGCTGCCCGGATTCCCCAATGCAATTCTCAGAGCCGCGTTTCAGGCGGCAGGCGGCCAGTTCCCCTGCAATGTACAGCGGGGAACTGGGAACCGTTTTGGATTTGGGGAGGGGATTGCAGCGCTGCCACCTGAAACGCAATGCACTTTTTTTGCCTCTGCACACCCCATGTTTGGAATCAGGAAGCAGATTGCGAGTCTGCTGCCCGAAAACGCTTTCCTGATTCCAAAGGAAAGCGTTTTCGGGCGGCAGACCCACAAACCCTGAAACGCGGCTCTGAGAATTACATTGGGGAATCCAGGCAGCGGTGGCTGGAAAGGAGGGACAATTCACGTTAGGAACTCCCGTTCGGCTCGCTCGGCTCCTGGGCGCGGAGAGGGCTTAGGCAGCGGCTCCTCACACTGCTGGGGAGTGAAGTCATTGCGACCATTGTCTGCCCTGAGCTGACTGCTCGGCGGCCAGAGGGGTAACCAGCTGCAAATCGTGGCGCCTGCCTTGTTCCCTGAAGCTGCCGGGCTGATTCCCCCCCAGACCATCCCAAAAAGGTTTGTTCCTCAGGCTGTGCTCTGTCCCTCCCCCCAGAGCATGCGAGGGGTCTCTTTGGGGGAAAGCGAGTATTTATTCATTTATTTATTCATTTATTTATTCATTTTATTTCTGTACTGCCCTTCTCCCGAAGGTCTCAAGGCGGTGTACAGCCTGATTAAAAGCACAGACAGACAAAATTTTAAAATTATTAAATAATTGGCTCAATTATAAAACCCCCAAATTTAAAATCCCATATTTAAAACCAAGTAAAATCTTTACATTGATAGCCCAGCCTGGCGGAACAACAAGGTTTTGAGGGCTCAGCGAAATACATGGAGATCAGAAATCTTACGCATTTCTGGGGGCAGTTCATTCCAAAGGGCAGGGGCTCCCACAGAGAAGGCCCTCCCCCTGGGTGTCGCCAACCGACATAATTTGCCAATGGCACCCTGAGGAGACCCTTTCTGTGGGAGCGGACTGGCCGGTGGGAGGCTACTGGTGGCAGAAGACGGTCTCAAAGGTACATAGGTCCAATGCCATGGAGCGCTTTTAAAGGTGGTAACCAAGACCTTGAATCGCACGCGGAAGACCACTGGGAGCCAGTGCAGCTCGCGCAGGAGGGGGGTCATGTGGGCACAACGAGTTGCGCCCATAACCACCCGCGTGGCCGCATTCTGGACCAGTTGGAGCCTCCGGGTGCTTTTCAAGGGGAGCCCCATGTAGAGAGCATTACAGTAGTCCAGTCGGCAGGTGACAAGGGCGTGAGTGACTGTGCGCAAGGCGTCACGATCCAGAAAGGGCTGCAACTGGCGAATCAGGCGAACCTAATAAAAAGCCCCCCTGGCCACGGCCGTCATATGTTCTTCTAAAGACAGCCGTGTGTCCAGGAGGACGCCCAGATTGCGAGCCCTCTCTGTGGGGGGGTAAGGACTCACCCCTAATAGTCAGCGATGGCACCAGCTGACTATATCGCGACGCCGGGAACCACAGCCACTCAGTCTTGGAGGGGTTGAGTCTGAGCCTGTTTCTCCCCATCCAGACCCGTACGGCCTCTAGGCAGCGAGACATCACATCAAGGGCATTGTTGGGGTGGTCTGGGGTGGAGATGTACAGCTGAGTATCATCAGCGTACAGGTGGACTCTCACCCCAAAACCACGGATGATCTCACCCAGCGGCTTCACATAAATGTTGAACAGAAGGGGCGAGAGGACCGACCCCTGCGGCACTCCCCATGCGAGGCACCTCGAAGTCGACCTCTGCCCCCCTGTCAACACGAACTGCGAGCGGTCGGAGAGGAAGGAGGAGAACCACCGCAAAATGGTGCCCCCTATTCCTAACCCCCACAACCGCTGCAGCATGATACCATGGTCAATGGTATCAAAAGCCGCTGAGAGATCTAACAGGACCAGGACAGAGGAACAACCCCTGACCCGAGCCCTCCAGAGATCATCCACCAACGCAACCAATGCCGTTTCTGTGCTGTACCCCTGCCTGAAGCCCGACTGGTACGGGTCCAGATAGATAGCTTCATCCAGGTGCCTGGGCAGTTGTCATGCCACCACACTCTCAACAACCTTCACCACAAAATGAATGTTGGAGACCGGACGATAGTTGGCTAATTCAGCCGGGTCCAGGGAAGGCTTCTTGAGAAGGTGCCTCACCACCGCCTCTTTCAAGGCAGCGGGAAAGGCACCCTCACTCAGAGAAGCACTTATAATCCCCTAGAGCCAGCCTCGTGTAACTTCCCGGGAGGCCAGTACCAACCAGGAGGGACACGGGTCCAATAAACATGTGGCGGCACTAATCCTACCCAGAACCCTGTCCACATCCTCGGGAGCCACAGGATCAAATTCCTCCCAGATAATGTTCTCAAGACCTGCCCTCGTCTCCTCCCCCGGACTCACCCAGTCAGAGTCCAAGCCTTCCCGAATCCGAGTGACTTTATCATGTAGGAATTGCACAAAATCCTCAGCTCGACCCTGCAAGGATCTTCCCGCACTCCCCCCCGAAGAAGGGAGTGGGTCACCCTAAACAGAGCGGCTGGGCGGTTCTCTGCAGATGCGATAAGAGCGGAAAAATAGTTAGATTTTGTCGCTTTTATCGCAACTAGGTAGGTCTTGATAGAAGACCTCACCAGTGTTCGGTCGGAATCGGATTGACTAGTCCTCCAAATGCTCTCTAGGTATCTTTTCCGACGCTTCATCTCTCTCAAGGAGAACCAAGGAGCCAATTGAGGTCGGCATCGGGTCAGAGGCCGCAAAGGCACGACGCGGTCCAAAGCCCCGGCGGCTGCACTCTCCCAGGCGGCCACCAGGTCTTCAGTCGAGTCGTGTGCCAGGGTCTCAGGAAATGGCCCAAGCTCCGTTAGGAACCTTTCAGGATCCATCAGGCACCTGGGACGGAACCATTTGATCGGCTCCGTCTCCCTGGGGCGGGGGGAAGCGGCAGGAAAGTCCAAGCGAAGGAGAGAATGATCTGTCCATGACAAGGGTTTAATGTCTAAATCCCCTCTACCAAGATCATTCAACCACTGACTAGAGACGAAACAGATCACAGGAACACCCTGATAAGTTTTCTGGAAAAGAACTTATCAGTAATCAACGCCTTCTTTCCCAGCTGAGTCTCTGAGGCACCTCTCACTTGCAGGAGGAGGAGGAGGGCGGCGGCGTAAAGTAGTGCCACCTTAAATCACGCTGCTGGTAGGCAGAGGTAGAATTCTTGTTTTCCTCCCCAAAAATTAAGGTGGGTCTTATACTCCGAAAAATATGGTAAACTAGTCTTGTACATTCCAATTCATTGGAACTTGCTCTAAGCATTTTAGGCTGTGGTACAAAACATACATACAAGCCTGCAGAATAGGAGCAAAGAAATTATGAAAAGAAGCAAGGCTTATTCGTTACCATTTTTAGAGACAGTCTATTTAAGAAACAAGGTAAATGATTAAAATACATTTTATGAAGTCACTAAGAGAGATTGAAGAATAGTCATGTATCTATTATAAAAGTAACTGTTGATTTTTAGGACAGAATATTTTTCAAGGTTGCATTTTTGTTTTGAACAAATACGCTATAAGCACAGTTTTTGGACCTTATAAGATCTACAGTGGCATGGCCAGACAAGTGCAATAGAAAGTAATTTATTTTCCATTGGAAAATGCAGAATGCTTGCAGTTCATTATAAAGATTCATACACATTCATAGTCTTCCATTCCTATTATAATGCTTTGCTTTTCTATCCAATAGATGTCTAGTCAGTAGGTGTTTCAGTTTCAACTGGATCTCGGATCAACCTTCGGATTCCTCTTTTTCCCACAGGCCCTTTTGGCTTAGCAAAACCTTGTTTGTGTGCATGTCGTTTGGGATGGACTTCTTCATAGAGAAATTCCGCAGTTAGTTCATCTCCATCATCTATTTCAATCTGTTATGAAAGGAGGAGATAACAATCCAATTAATTTTGAAAAAGGCTCCATCCAGCATATAAATAACTATTAAAGATATAAATCTTGAAATGACCATTTTATATACTTTAAAAATCTTATCAAATCTGTCACCTAATACTGTGTTTCTCCGAAAATAAGACAGTTTTATCATTTTTTTGGCTACCAAAAAAGGCACCAGGTCTTATTTTTGGGGGCGGATGTCCACTGATTCACCTCACTTGCACGCATCATCCCCAGCCTCTTTTTCACTATCAGAGGCCTGAAGCAAAGCTTTCCTGAAGGCCTCTGATAACAGAGCTCCGGATCAATCAGGGGCTCTGTTATCTGCTATGGAGGCCTTCAGGAAAGCCTTGCTGGCTGCAGCAGAAGAAATGGGCCGAGGTGTGCGAGGCCTGGCTGCAACTATCTGAAGAGAAGTAGTAGGGCAGCTCCACACCCCCATCCCCATCCTAGCTTAATTTTTACCTGTGCACCCTGCAGTGAGTGGGGTCTTAATTAGGGTTTATTTTGTGGAAAGGGCTTCTATTGGGCACAAGTGTAAAACTCAAGATAGGACTTACTTTATGAGTAGGTCATATTTTCGAGAAAACACGATAGTTGAACTCAACAAAACCACCTATGACCATTTTTAAGCATCAAATATATATATATATATATAATGGTAATAGTACATAAGAAATGATAAATTGCTGAATTTTCTTACCATTTAAGGATTATTTTATTGCAGTTATTTTGATAGTTTTAAAAGGATAAACTTACAGCCTAGTGAATGTAATGAAATATTCCTACAGCTTATCAGCCCTGGATGCATCTTTGGTCAGACTTTACAAGGCTGCCACAGTAAGAATGGGAGAGTAGCAAAGGGAATAAATCATAACATTTTTTCACATGAGATCAAAGTCGAACTGCTGGCACCTGGAAGGAAGTGAAAGAAGTTTGGCGGCAGCTGAGACAGGGGATTGATTGGGGCATGTGATGTGAATGTCACTGGACAGGGCAGGGTGTGAGTTTTAGTGTGGGTGGGGGAAACACGGGATTTCAGATTCAGGTTTTCTCCAGATGTGCCAATATGACTTCTTAATAAAAATCTTACTTTGATGGACTTTGTCTCGGAGTTCTGAATTGCAATGAGGAATTAGTTGGAACTATCTATTTTTTGCTGTATAAGACACACTCCCCCACCCCCCAAAAGTGGCTGGAAGTGTCTGTGCATCTTATACAATGAATGTTTCTGAAACCCCACCCACCTGCTGGCCCCCACCCTTCGGCCATTTTCGGCCTCCGCATGCCCCATTTTAGACCTGTTCCAGAAAGCGGGGATCACCACAGCACATTGGGCATAGCATTTTTGGCCTCCACACATTGCGTTTTCGGCCACCACACACCCCACCAGCTGAGTGTGGGGCCTGCCGCCCAAGCTCTCCCACACTTGATCCAGCCAGGTTGGAGCCTAGCCCAGCCTACATTCCGCTTTCCAGGGCAAGGGGACATGTCAGTTCAAAGTGGGACCACGGCTTCATTCCATTCAGCCCTGAGTGGACCAAGATTCAGCCTTCCCCCTCAAATTAGATCCATCAGCGCGGCAGCCCAGCAGGGTGCAGCGGCTGGCAAACACCCTGGACCTCTGGGGCAGTCAAGCCCGGGCAACTGGGGAGGAATGATGGGATTACCGGGGCCCACCCATCGGCTTCCACCAGCAGCACCCCGGACTGCCGCCAGTCGACCAAATCCCTCCAGGATGGGCTTTCTACCCAGGCCAGGGGTGGATTCAATACCTGCGGATGCCGGCTCTGGCCCAACCACTGGTTCTGCCACCCGCAGTGGCACAGCCCACAGTTGCCCCACCACCGTTCCTGGCTATCTTCGACGACATCCCAGGGAACCTAGCTTACTTTCTAAACCGCATCTGGGCCCACATTGATTGTTATGGAAGCTCAATACCAATCAGACCAGATTATCTCAGCCACTGCAGATAACATGAGGGAGAGGGAAGCAGCAGACTGGATTGCCCAACTCCACGACGGAGCACCTGAGTTAGAAGATGCAGATGAGTTTGTGCAGTCACTAAGGGCCTGGTTTGAGGAACAGCCAACCAAAAGGAAGCTGAAGCAGAAAGTAAGGGATTGAAGCAGCGCGGCTGGCCCCCCAAGGAGTTTGTGTGGGAATTTAGAAGAGTAGCCAGCAAACTACGGGACTGGCCTAAACGACTCTTCACCCACTATTTCAAAGAGGCCCTGGATCAGGACCTTAGGCAGGCACGTGCCTACAGGGGAATATCAAACCGGATCCAAGCCTGGTATCGGATGGCAGTGACTATGGACTTAAGAGATTTACCCCCACCAAAGATCCATATTGGAAAACTCTCCCAAATGACCATTGGGATGTCAAGTTGCCACTAATCAGGCAGTGAAGACAAGACCAGCAGCCATGCCCGTTATAAAGTGCTTCAGATGCAGCCAACTGGGCCACCAAGCCTCCGAATGCCTCGCACTGGCTCCAGTCCCTCAGGCATGAATGCCAGCAGCTGCAAAATCGAGGAGAACTGTGAGAAAGCCACAAGACAAAGGCAAATTTGTTCGGCAAGCCATGGAGGTCCACCCTCCACTGTACCAGGAGGGGGGAACTCCGGCTCCAGAGGCCACCGACACCAGCAGAAAGGGTGAGGAGGATCCAATGGTAAGTGAAGTCATCCATCCCTTTGCCATAAAGTCTTGCATAGTAGTACACAGGACATGCGCCCATGGGGACCTAGAGTCCATATAAGACACTGGTTGCACCAGGTGCTTGATCAGCTCCCAGACCGTGCAGGATTTAGAGATAAGAGACGAGAACTTTGAGCTGCCCCACCAACTTTGAGCAGGTAGATGGATCACTAGTGGGTAGTGCACCCGCAACCATAGTCACTGAACCTGTAAGACTGGAAATGGGGCACCACTGGGAAATCATATGATTCATTATTGCCCCAAAAATGGCTGAGTCACTCATCCTTGGTTTGTCCTGGCTAGACAAGTAGGCCCCGACCATCACACGGGAAGACTGTTATTGGAAGCTAAAAGGCATCGGACCGCTGTCCCCCCTCCCGCAAACCGAGAACCAGCCCTCTTTAGGACCATGCAACCTCAGCCAAAGAGAAGGAGTAGCCTCCACCACGGAGGCTTTGCCTGGCTGCCAGAGAATACGCAGAGTACAGAGACTTAGCAGGAGTTTTCAGTGAAGACGAATGCAATGTGCTCCCCCCACATCGACCCACGGACTGCGCAATAGAATTTATGCCAGGGGCAAAACTGCCTAAAACAAAAATATTCCATGACCCCTAAGGAGATGGGTGAATTGAGGAAATACATTGACGCAAACTTAGAGAGAGGATTTATCCAGTGTGCTATATCTAAGGTCACAGCCCCCATACTTTTTAAACAGGAAAAAGATGGAGGGTGAGGCTTTGCATTGATTTCTGCAAAATAAACACTCTGTGTGTGGAAAACACCTCCCCCTCATGAAGAACATGCTCAACTACCTGGCAAAGGGAAAGGTATTTACCAAGCTAGACCTCCACAGAAGTCTACTACTGCATATGGATCAAGGAGGGTGATGAATGGAAAACAGCATTCAATTGCCCATTAGGCAGCTTCCAGTTTAAAGTCATGCCGTTTGGGCTACAGGGAGCCCCTGCAGTGTTCATGCAACTCATTAACAAGGTGCTGCATACAAAGGAGTTTTAGTGTATTTGAACAATATTCTTTAGTGAAACTACTACAGCAAGTTTTGAAAAAACTCCTAGCCATTAAGCTCTGTGCTAACCTGTCAAAATGCGAGTTTCAAAAGACCACTCTAAACTACCTGGGTTACTGAGTGTCAAACGAGGGGATTGAAATGGACCCAGGAAAAGTTAAGGCAGTACTGGATTGGCAGCCCCCTCACAAGCAACTTCAAAGCTTCCTAGGCTTTGCAAAATTTTACCGGCAGTTCATTTCTGCATTCACTGAGATTACTCTGCCGCTTACGGAGCTATTAAAGATGAAGGGAATTGGCCCAAAGCCCCGGCCCAACCAACCCTTAAACTGGACCCTTGACTGTCAACAGGAGTTTGAAAAGTAAAAGGGACTATTTTCCAAGGAACCAATCCTACGACACCCTGATTCTGAATGGCCATTGCCAGTGATGTCAGTCACCGCAGTGCTTCTACAAGGAAATCTTCAGGGCCAACTGCAGCCTTGTGCCTTTGTGTCCAAAAAATTCACAGACACAGAATGGCAATAGGCCATATGGGAAAAAGAGGTCAGATGGGCTCTCCTCTCTTGGCAACACTTTTTAGAAGGCATCAGCTTGAGGTCTGGACCGACCAGAAGAACCTAGAGGCATTGAAGACTCCTAGGAAGTTGTCCCCTTAACAAGTACACTGAACACAATACTTCAAGTGGTTCAACTTTGTGCTAAAACACATTCCAGGAGAAAAAAACAAGTAGCTGATGCTTTATCAAGAATATCACAGTTCAACAGCCGACGGGAGATAGATTGGTGAAGCAGTTTCATGAAAAATTTCCTGACTGACCAAAGCAGCCGCCCCCCCCCCCGGGGGGGAGGTGATTAGAGAGTTTAGACCCTTGTCCCTAACCGCCTGTCACTTGTCTCTTTTCAGGATGTTCTCATCACTTGAGGGGAGGCAGCCTGTCAGCCCTGGATCCATCTTTGGTCAGACTTTACAGGGCTGCCACAGTGGGAATGGGAGAGTGCCAATATGACTTCTCAAAGTCTTACTTTGATGGACTTTGTCTCAGAGTACTGAATTGCAATGAGTTAGTTGGAATGCTGACACAACTACTAAAATCATCTACTTAAAATGAATTTAAAGCTACCCAATTCCCTATAGTATCTTTAAAATTTATTAGCTTGTATAATCAATCCTAATGAAGGAAAGTACAACTCCATATCCTGCTTTGAAGGATTTTCTCCCTCCATATTGAAAGTGTTGTCAAATAATGTCTAGTTCAGCTGATACCCAAAAGCTAACAGGTATAGATCCGGTTATTGGATGAGACACTAGCAGAAACTTGGTAGGGGATGTAGGTTGAATTAGGAATGCGAAAAAAATATGGTTATGGTTATGGCAGTGGCAAACTTCTTTCAGAAAGCTGTATGAACTTAATATACATTAGGCATGTGCCTATCTGTCAAACTCAGACCAACATTGAAACATGGATGACTAAAAACTACTCCAGTCAGATTTACATATCTGACTTATATTGGGTGGGCAATTCATGGGCTCCAATCTTTTTTTATATTAGAGGACCCTTACCTCCACATTTTCAAAATGTATTGATAAATCACAGACCATCATGCTATTTCTGATTTGTTTGTTTTGAGAAAAACAAAGGTGTACAAAACTTTTAAGTAAGCTATCATTGACTTCCCCATTTGAATCCCATAAACTTGTGTGGTATACTCCATCCCCAATACCTCCCAAAAATAATTTGAAGAAAACCTATAGCTCCTAATCACAAAACTTTGTTCAGTCCTAAATTACATGAACATGGATGACATCAGAGACAATATTTTATATGCTTAAAAGTTTTTTTTTTCTCTGCATCTTTTACCCTAATGTATTACGTCAGAAAATGGAACAAAATTTGAGAATGGTATTATCAAATATAGCATTGTTGAATTATCCTACTATTGTCTGAATTGTTTAATAATTTGATACCATATACTGAAAATGTTATCTCACAGTGAGCAGTTTAGGAATATTGTCCTATTTGCCCAGGAATATTAAGTAGCAGCTTAATATTCCTGGGCAAATGGTTGTGGCACATGGTAGTAACTATTTTTATTCTCTTCAAAAGTCATTTGGATTCAGTAATAAATCTACTGAATATTGTTTCAAACTCTTCCTCTTTTTGTAATAAAGAGACATCATCTGCAGAGATCTTTATCTGAGGGGTCTGTCAAGAAGTAGAGTGTCTGGAATCGTGGTCTTACCTTTCTAGTGATTTGTATCCACAGTTGTTTTTCTGCAATTTCTAGGAGATGACTCTTGCAGCTAGAATAAAGCATTCTTTCTCGTATACTGCACACATAACCAGGCATAGAGTAGATAAAAACTG